CACGGGCCAGCCGCCGGCCGCCACCTCTCCTGCTGCTCTTAGATGAAGGAGCACAGTAACAACCACTCGATCCAGACCACAGAAACCCTTTTGGGGGGGGGGGGGTCTCCCAGCCTGGACGGTTAAACCGTTACAGATGATCCAGAACACAGCGTCTGGTCTTCAATCAGTCCAGAAAATCTCAGGTCACCCCTCTGTTCACTGAACCTCACGGGTCACCCCCGGTTACCCCTGGTTACCCCTGGTTACCCGCATCAAACCCAGGTCCCTGATGCCTACAAAGTGCTTAAGGGTCTGGCTCCCGTCTACTTGAACCCTCTTGCAAAGGCCTATGTCACAACTTGGTCTACAAAGTGCTACAAGAACAGAGCAGCGTCCCTTTCTATCTTTAGGAAACTCTTAAAGACCCCCCTCTCCACAGAGCAGCTCCTATCCTAACTATCCTAACTAAGCTTCCTTCTATCTCCTCCTGTCTCCACTGACTCTGACTGGGGGTTTTCCTCCAGAGAACTTATCGTCATATTGATGAGAGCAGGAACTCTGGCTCTGCTTTGGGAGTCGCTTTGGATAAAAGCCTCTGAATGCAGAAACAGAAACATAGCACAAAGTATTGAGGCTCCTGTGTGCTAGTCCTGGGTCTGCTGACCGCCGCCTCACATGGCAGCACACACCACACCCCCTCCAAGCTGGACCCAGAAGGAAAAACCCGGAATGCTGGGATGAAGCCTCTCCTGCTAAATTCCTGCTGAAACGCCAAAGCAGTGATTTTCCGCTGCCTCCCACGGAACCGTCTGATGGGGCAGAAGAATGTGGGACGGTGTGGGAATAAAAGAAGACTTTTTAGGAATGCCAGTCCATCATTGTTGTTAATCTTGGAGTGTTAGCTGAATGTGTGAAGCGCTGCTCTGCTTTCATGTGGATTTCCAACATGTCCTCCTCTACTGTTAGGCGAGTGTAACAACGAGCCTTTCTGTGACCCACTGGAGGTGCCAGTCACCTGTCACAGAGCCAATGTAAGCCGATTAGTGGCGGGCGGCTAACAGGTTTAGGCTGCATCTGTTTCTTTTTTCTGCTGCCAAAATGTCCACTAGCTCCCAGCCAGACATCTCATCTTGGACAACTCCCACAATCTGACATCATCTTAGTGATAGAATTTGCTTTGCTCTTTGATGGGCCCCTCTCGTGGTCGGGCCGGGCTGGGGAGCAGCAGGCTGCTAGCTGGGGAGCCCTTCCACGGACATCAGACCAACATCTGCAGCACATCAGCACTGAGAGGAGATGTGTTCAGGTACCGGGGACAGTCTGGGGGATTGTGGGATGCTAGAGAAGCAAGTCAGTTTCATTAGGAGTGTCCCCCACTTCACCTCCACCCCCACCCACCCTTCGGTTTTCTTCATTTTTAGGAGCCGTTGCATTGCCTCTTCTGTCCCTACAGACCAGAGGGGCCGGCGGGGGCAGCTCTGATGGGGGGGTACAGGTGTCAGACACCACGCGGACAGATGGCCGGGCCAAAGGCGAACCAACAACAAGGCTGCGCTTCTTTTCTCATCTTCTGGTTGGCTGGGCAGACCACTGGCGCACCAACAGGATAAGGGCCTCCCCGGCCCACCCTCCGGAGCCATGTGACATCAAAGAGCAGAGCAGGATTACTGCCACTTCAAACTGACACCTACCTCCATAGAAACGGGTTCAGAATGGAGTAAAACAGTGAAGGAGTGGCTGATACAGAGAGATGCTGGAGCAGGAGCTGCCTTAATAATGAGGAGAGGCGTTAGGTTAAGGGTGCACTGTTTGTGTTGCTCTCTCCCACACAACCACCCAACCAGATGTGTCTGGCTCTAAGAACATTTTTTACCTTTAACGGCATCTTCCAGAGCCTGTGGGTGAGGCTGCTTTTCCACAGACTCTCAGAGAGGGAGGACACAGTTCTGGAAACATTCTCAGACCTGATCACTGAGCCTGCTCACCATCGGGTCTCCCCCGGAGACGGGGCAGGTCCTGGTCTGCTGGCGGTCTCTGGTGCTGTGTGGGGAGGGCTGGGCTCAGAGGGGGGCAGCGCTGCCTTTCTGCCCCCTCCACACAGTCCGCTTAGACTTACCCCACTTGTTATTGTAGATATCTGAAAGGGGGAACGGGAGGAACCGACCAACAGAAGGACTTCCAGAGGGGTTCAGTAAAGCTTTTGCTGACGTTGTTACTAATATGGCCTTTTTCTTCCATCTGCCCCCCCTTCCTGCCCTAAAGCCCATCTACCTTCCACCTCTTTGTCTTAGACTCACAGAACCTTTGTTATGAGACCAAGTGTGTATTTTTCTTAGCGCCTCGTTCAGTTTCAAGTGTTCCTCTCCTCCACTACCGCTCAGCAGCTCCCCTTTCACCAACACTCACAGGAATGCAAACACACATCAAAAGCAGCCCTCTGGTTTTGAAGATTTCCAGGCTTTGCTCTTCATACTTTCTTCCTTCCTATCTTTCAGTGGATGCGGTCCGTATGCTGGTAGGCTGTGTCCTGCCGGCACATGCACACACAACCGTGCACACACACCCGTGCACACACACTCGTTAAGACGCACACCAACTGCCGTCCCACACTCTGCTCACTTGGCAGACACAGGAGAGACGGATAAGTGAGGTCTGCTGCCCCCATGCCACCTGCAGACCTCCCTACTCAGGTTTCTGACAGGGATACTCATGCAGGTTCACATAACAGCCCAGGAAAGTCAAAACAGGGCTTTGTTTGACATATTTGCGTGTCTTCATCACACGTCCCGGTTCTTTGGTGGAGCAGCCTTGGGAAATCTTCTCTACTTTGCCGTCAGATGTTTAGGGATCTCTTGATTCAAAGGAGGACCAACACATGGCTGTAATCTCCCACACACAGCACAGGGCGGGGGTCTCTGAGGGGTGGGGGCACTCCGCTGGACCCGTCTGTGAGTCCAGCTCAGCTGAACTTCTTCTGGATGATGTGAACCCCTTTGGAGGGGCTTCCGGCTGTCGGCCTGCTGGTTAACTGGTTTAAAGAACTGTCTGCCGTGCTGTCTGTACTGTGTGTGTGGCTGTTGGTCCTTGTGTGTCTCTGTGTCCCTGTGATGGACTGGGGACCTGCCTGAGTCTTTACAGCTCATCTTAGAGGAGTCTTATCTTCAAACAAATTCCAAACTTTTTATGAGACACTTCCTGCTGGCATCCAGGGCAAATCTGGGATAAATAAGAAGAAATCCTGGACCTCATGGCATGGGAATAAGGGATGCTGCTCTACCAGCCAGGTACTTA